TCAGTGCGTTCGTTCATTCGTGCATGTGTCCATCGGTGTGTCCGTCCATCCATGCTTCCATCCATGATCCTTCCGTCTATCCGTCCGTCCGTGCCTTCGTGCTCCTGTCAGTCCATCTGTCCGTCCGAGCGTCTGTGCATCTTTCCATCCATTTTGACGCACGGACGGATGGATAGATGCTTCGCCCCACATATCATCATTCCCTCTGTTGATATCCTGTGGTTTTTTTAATGAACAAACCGGAAGACCACCAAGGGCTGAAAAAGGCTTCAATATTCATTTGGGCTACCATAGGCCTTAAAGCCGTATCGAGGTATATGACATCCTGCGGGCGACGCGGAATATCGAAGCATACATATGCCGTAAATTTGGTGATGTGGTCTTCTATTAGGTGTCGCAGTGTCATGACCTACATACCTTGAGGTAGTACTTGCTTTGTAAAATCGAAATCGATAACAGGGGGACATGTAAGGTTAAAGTCCATGGTTACTACGGAGTGTGGCATAGCGATGTCGCGTGCCGGGAGAACAATAGGAATGGGTGTAACAATATTATCCTCGTCAAGCCCGGGAAGGCTCTTGCCAATTCAACTTATCTGATGGCTTTATTTTGTATCCGAATGAAGTGTGTGCTAAAGAGGCTGTTTGCGAGCTGCGGGTGAGAACCTGAAAGAATAGAAAGCTCTAAAGAGAAAGTAGTGGTCGAACAAACAATCAGGGTAGAATTCGCCGATAAAAAGTCCATCCTGAAAGGAGGTCATGAGAGAATTTTCAAGCATTGCAAATAAAACAGTATCATGGCGGCCGGCAAGGATAATACGAGCGGTAAACATTCCAATGATGGCCACAGTTCCACCATCGGCGACACGGACGGCTTGAGTTGCGGCAGGCGTGAGTACTTTTCTGAAGCGGTGACAGAGAGGAGCACTCATATTGACGCCTGAACTCCAGAATCAACTGATGGCAGCAAAGAAAGACTATTGACTTGCCCTTCAATCAAGTTCTTAGTATAGGGAGCGTCAACGGAGCATTTGGATCAGTAGCACTTGATGCAGGACTACTTCTATAAGCTGCATGATCTAGTGTTCCGTGCTACAGGATGCATAGTTGGTCGGCGATGTATAGCGGCGTGGTCGGAGCGACAGGTTGAACGATTGGTAGAGTGGCTTTTAAGCGCATGGCAAGCAGGATACTCACGACTGGGCGAATATCGACGGGATCAGTGTATGCGCACGGATAAGAACAATATTTGATCTATTGTGGGGTCGTTCAAGTGCTGCGGTTGTATCTGGAGACATGGCTAACGCGGGGGCAGTGGAAGCAGATTGGTTTGTCGTCTGCAGTTCTCCATGCCTGGAATCTGGGGAGAAAGTATGGGTCATGGCGCGGTGCATTCATGGGCGTCGGTCTGGAGCTAGGTTGGGAGGTGGAGTCGGTGACAAGAAAACAAGGTTTGCGATCTTTTACGGCATACCCTGAATAACAGATACCGCCGGGGGTATTTGGGCTCTGCCACTGTAGAGTGGTGGTGGATAAAACAACGCCAGTCTTGCCGCCTCAAGCTCTCGTCGAACGATACACATCACGTTCTCGTGATAGAGAGGTGTGGTGCTGAGATCAGTGCAGGTTGACGTGACAGCCGTGTTTGGTTGCCGAGAAAATTGAGGCAGAACGCGGTGGTTTTGGCGATTTCGAAGCGATGGCATTCCTTGATGATGAAACCAATGCTTGCGACGTTGGTGTACTTAAGCAAGTTGAAAGTACCGTCCACAGTCCGTGATGCCCTTGAGTATATGGCCCTCTTTGTCTTTCTCAATCTTTTGCTCGTCCACTTTCCGGCACAATGCGAGCACTTTATATATGTACGAGACATAGGACTCGGTTGAGGACTGCACACAGGTGGCGAGTTTTTCTCGCGCGGCCATGTGGTGACTGGACGGGTTACCAAACATGTGGCGTAGTTGCTCCTTCAACATGTCGCAGCTCGTGAACTTGGTCTCACGAGCATCGAACTATATGCGCAGGGTGTCGTACAAGTAAAAAATTTTCTTGGCAAGCATCATGGTAGGTCTCATTGGCGAGTTTGGCTAACGCGTTCGTACATGCGGAGCCAGTAGTCGATGTCAAAGCGAGGTTGCATGAAGAATGTACCCGGATCACGAAGTGGGACATCGTAAGGTACGAAGTGACATGCACCCCGGCCAGTACAGACGATGAGGGGTGGCTATCATTGGAAATCATGGCCGGAGGCTGAACGGTGGGGCAAATGCGAAGCTTCGTGGCGAGGACGGTGAACGCTACACACTCACCAAACATGTTACGTGAGAGACGAGGCGCTGCATAGACGAGGCTGTAGATAAAATATATATACTAAATCAAACAGTTGAGGCGTGACTGGTTAATCAGCAACCGAGTGGAGACAGCCTTTCGTGTTCTTTGTCATGCACACTCGCGCATCGCCACAAAAAAATTCCATATGCTTACAGTAATATTGTGTATTAGGTATGGAAACCTCCCGAATGACCAGTGGGTTTGTGTATAGATTTTGACGTAACCAACATGCCCTATTGGTTGCTGTGCCACCTACGTACCCGCGGCGAAGAAGTTCATCACAAGCAAAAAAGCCTTCAAGTGTTGAAGCTTGGGATAGTTGGTATTTGTTCTAGATGGCGAATTAGCCAGCGCGACAACGCATGAAGGGACAGAGTAGAAAGGATTGCTGAGTTTCAACTGACGCTTATTTTGCAGAACTTCAGAGTATGTACGTAGCGATAAAGAAACAGTTTTAGTTAACACGTGAGACTAGACAAGTGGATTACATGCACAAAATAGAGGACATCTGCTATGCACACTATCGCAGGTACTATCATGGTTTCGGCTTGATAATCTGACGGGGCTACAGGACAGATCTGTACACGTATAGTGGTTGGTATATTTATTGGGCTTCCCTTTATCGTTATCCTTGAACATATATTCTGCAATATAAACATCTATCTATCTATCTATCTATCTATCTATCTATCTATCTATCTATCTATCTATCTATCTATCTATCTATCTATCTATCTATCTATCTATCTATCTATCTATCTATCTATCTATCTATCTATCTATCTATCTATCTATCTATCTATCTATCTATCTATCTATCTATCTATCTATCTATCTATCTATCTATCTATCTATCTATCTATCTATCTATCTATCTATCTATCTATCTATCTATCTATCTATCTATCTATCTATCTATCTATCTATCTATCTATCTATCTATCTATCTATCTGCCTATGTCTGGGTGCTCTTCTTACCACCCCTCTGAATTTGGGTGAACCGAAATTAGTATGGAGGAAAGATGGTTTGACGAAAATGACTCGCTTGTAAAGACATGAAGAATGTGACAACGCCTTTGTGCACATCATCAAACCCACTCCTCCAAAAATGCGTGGTAAATACCCGTATACAACAGGTGGGTATGTGCCCGAGGTATGCGAGTATGGACCACCGGTGATTGGCTGTTTATTTCTACTCGGGAACGGCGAGAACAGACATTGGTAATTCAAAGCGAGATTGTTAAGACTGAAAGAGTTCACATCGGCAGCGTTGACCCGACAAAGGGAAAGAAAAAGATATCAGGGTCTGACAGCAATCTGCCCTGATATCAAGTATTCTATCATAGAGCCACGATAGGTCCTAATACTGCTTTGCGAAAAGACTTCATTGAGGCGTAAAGCTGATAAAACGTCCATTGTGGTTGCACTGCTTACTATCCAGTTTTATAACCGTTACATATGTGCACTCCTATGATGTAGCCTTCGAGTTGGGATCGCGTCAATTGTAGTTAAGCGACATCCAATAAAATTCATTTTTGCAGCAGTGTCCAAGACTACCACCCTAGCTAGCACTAGCCCTGCATATCAGCTTACAAATTATGATGTTGCTAACACTCATGTTACTATCAGCATCGTTACAGAAGTGTAAATTACATGAACTAGTATTTTACACTTTAATATATAACGCATATGCAACTGTTCAAGATATGTCTATGGCTACAGATATTTGACATCTTTAGCGCCATTTCGTAACGTTTCGCAAGCTACAACACAGTCACCATCCCACCGTATGCATCGTCTAAGGTCGATGGCGATGGTACGTGAAATCTGTCGAAGTTTTTTCTACACCTTGGAGCTGTGAAATTAGCCTCCAAGAAATGCCTGCTTGCCTATTTTTCTGCAGTGCTGGCAATGAGTAAAGAAATGCGATTGTGTGATAACGTAGTCCAGTTGAGTGAATCGAGAAACAGCCTTTATTACTATGTATGCTGCAGCATAGAACCTTATTCGATATGCGGAGAACTTCTCGCTTATCATGGAAGCGTAGGGTAATAACAAGATAAAAAGTCATCTTCATTCACACTGCATAGCAGCTCACATAACAGTCTTTCCCGCTCAGCAACACGTTTCAACAGAAACAAACTGGCTAGCAAATTCATGCTGGCTTAGTGTTCTCAAAATTTCTGCGTTTGATAAAGTTGTCTAGACTTATGAACCGGTGACTTCACTTAGATTTCATCTGTATTGGGATATCCAGGAGCCATTCAAATTGCACGTGTTTGTGTCGGAGCTAATAATACTGTTTCAGTGATTGACAAAATCCCAAACCACAATATTTTTGAAGAAGTAAAGGATCATTACACAATCACTTCCTTTGTTCATGTTTCAGCTTAATTCTAGTTCATTCTTTACCTGTCTTGACGAACTACACTTGCCCGTTTTGATACATTGTTGCTTTCACTAGGCATACGGGATATACGTCCCAAGTAGTACAAAGCAATTGAAGAATCAATAGGTCATTACTCAGCTGCTGGTATTGGCACTTCGTATAAAGGCAAAGTTGCTACAATTTATTAAGCAATGTCATCGATACATTCTATATCAATACATTCTATATTGATACATTCCTTTCTGAATATTGCAAGGCTAAATGTGTTGTTTCGATTTCAGATAAAGAAGGCTTCCAGTGGGAAAATCCCCGGCGCGGTACCCCGAAGGCCGTTCCATAGGGTCATCGATGGCGTACCACGCTGCGCCTGGTTGGATGCTGACATTTACCGCGAGAGCTTGAAGTTTCAACCTGCAAAAGGCGATTTAATTCAATGCACGTACCCTAAGAGCGGAACATACTGGGTGCAGTACATAATGCAACTCATCCTCAAGAATGGCGAGCCTGTGAAGACGTACAATGAGTTCACAAGCCACACTCACGCCCTAGAGTACATGAGACACGATGACTGGAAGTCCGCACTGCCTATAAGATTGTTCTTCACTCACTTGCCGGTTTGTGAAGACAAAATGAACAAAGAAGTCAAGTACATCTACTTGGCCCGAAACCCTTGGGACGTATGCGTTTCGTTCTACAACATGGTGACAGATGTAAGCATCTGGAACTTTCAAGATAGCACTTTTGAGGAGTTTGTAGACGCATTTCTGGAGACTGATCTAGGTTACGGTACCTACTTTGACCACGTCGCCACTGGCTACGCCTTGAAGGACACGCCGAATTGTCTGTTTATAACCTACGAAAGTATTAAACGAGACACCCGCGGTGCTGTTCTGCGATTGTCACAGTTCTTGGGGGAGCAGTACTTTAATGTTCTGCAACAAAACGAGGAACTCCTCGAGAAGATTGTAGAGTTGAGTAAACCGGAGTACTCCCGTGATGTATTGGTTATAGACTTTCAGAACAACAATTCAGATGAATGGAAAAATATATTTCTTAGGAACAAGCTGTCCTGTCAGCGAGGACACCGAGGCGACAAAACCAAGTTTCCCATGGTGAGGACGGCCATAATTGGTGGCTGGAAAGAGTACTTCACACCGGAGCTTCTCACTCATATGGAGAAGAAGATTCGAGAACAAGGAGACAATGCTGCTTTTATGGAGCTGTGGAAAGACATCCGAGAAGAGGCACTGGCGATGTCTGATATCTCTCAGTGATATCAACAAAGTGGATGTTCATTATATAGAAGCAGAGGCGGATTCTTCGGGTGCAAATGACTGGCGACTGGCAGCCTCTCGTAAGCTTATAAAACAGTGTGTCTCATCATTTATGAAAAAGTAAGATATGTAGTGGTATCAACTTTTATTTGACTGATTTACTTGCCTGGTGCCTCAGTGTGGCTCTACGCAGGCAGCGATTCTTTCAGCATAAAAAAGAGACTCTATTACTGCACGGCTAACTTGTCCTACATCTTCACAGGTGCAAATGGAGTGCGAAGTACACATGGACGTTCATAAGGATGAAGTGCGTGCGGATTAGCTCTTGTATTTAGCGAGAAAGTTGTCACGGCTAAACTTGGGGGGTTTCGATTGACATAGAGTTTTGCCTTAAGAATCTGTTTTAACGCTCTTGTGTGATATTTAATAATAAAGGTTAATGAGTAAGATTCTAGTTAGCATCTGTGTGTGAAAACAATTCAATACAGAATTTGGGCTCGACGGTCACTCTATGCCACGTGAAAGTGCATGTCGCGATTCAGCACTTATTGTGTATATGGATTTTTGTTCAGAAGATCAGAGGGTGATGGTGCCCCTGCCTTTTACTTGGAACAACACGCATGTAATAAGTATACTTAGTGTCGGCGCTTTGAAATGTGCCATTGCCTACGCTCCTGGGAGCGAGGGTAGGACCGATCCGTCCCCGCCGTATCCGCTGTCGTGTGGATGCGAACCGTGGAGAAATTCCGAACACGTCACATGTCACGTCACTGATCCGTCCGCGATCACGTACATCATGTGAATCCAGCATTACGGGCATCTGCGTGTTAACTGTTATTTTTTATACGCTTCGGGAGCGGTAGCGGTGAGCGTCCGGTGGTAGACGAGAACAATGGACACAGGCACGCTCCCGCTGAGCTGCCGCTAACAGTCAGTCACAACTGAGTCTTGGAATGATTAACATATTTTTCTGAGTGTCTCGTCTTCGTCTCTGAATGGTTTTTGGTTTTACGAGGCAATAGGCCAAGACACCTACAATAGACACACAGTTCCTAACACGCCGCTGACATAGGACGCGTCAGCTCGCGGCAATAATAACAAAAATTGCCCACATTTTACACCCATTGAACAGACATGTGTTCGGCCAATTGAAGATGCATTTGTCGCGCTTACCTATGAGTTTTGGGGAAGCAATGCATTGTAGTCATGTGGGGAAGTGCTCAACAAGGCCCACGTTAACCAGTTTTCAAGCGACATGTCACGACGAACGGAATAATTCAGATCCGAAGGCGTTTACTTTGGCGTGAACGACGCCCCGCACTCTCCTGGAACAGCTAATTTTGTGGTTGCGGTCAAGAAGGGTGTAAGGCATAGGAACAAAATCTCCCCACTGCTATTTACCGCGTGCTTACAGGAGGTTTTCAGAAGCCTACAATAGAAACAGTTAGTGATAAGAGTTAATGGAGAGTACCTTAGTAACTTGCGCTTCGCCGATGACATTGCATTCCTGAGTAACTCAGGGGACGACTTGCAACTCATGATTGCGGAGTTAGATAAGGAGAGCGGAAACGTAGGTCTTAAAATGAATCTGCAGAAAACGGAAGTAATGTACAACAACCTCGGAAAAGAGCAGCGCTTCGAGATAGGTAATAGTGCACTTCAAGTTGTAAAAGACTATGCGTACTTAGGGCAGGTAATGACCGCGGAGCCGAACCACGAGATTAAAGTAACTCGAAGAACAAGAAAGGGGTGGAGCACATTTGGCAAGCACTCTCAAATTATGACAGGTACATTGCCACCATCCCTCAAGAAGATTATATATAACAGCTGCATCTTGCCGGTACTTAACTACGGTTCAAAGACCTGGAGGCTTACAAAGAGGGTTTTGCTTAAATTGAGGACGACGCAGCGAGCTATGGAAAAAAAAAATGACAGGTGTAACTTTAAGAAATAAGAAGAGAGCAGAGCGGATGAGGGAACAAACCGGGGTAACGATATCATAGTTGAAATCAAGAAGAGAAAATGGACATGGGCCGGGCATGTAGCGCGTAGACACGATAACTGCTGGTCATTAATGGTAACTAACTGGATTTCCAGAGAAGGCAAGTGGGTTAGGGGGAGACATAAGGTTTGGTGGGCAGATGAGATGAAGGAGCTTGCGGTATAAATTGGCAGCAGCAAGCACAGGACCGAGTTGACTGGCGGAACATGGAAGAGGCCTTTGTCCTGCAGTGGACGTAGTCAGGCTGATGAATATGATGATGACGATGATGATGATGATGTTGATAGATGGTTTCAAGATTGCAAGCGTTGAGCCCCAAAAAAACTTCCGGTCACCTCATTTACGAGCTCGTAGCGTTGAAACTGAAATAACGTTTTTACGTTTTTTCAAAGTTTAGGACATTCTTTTATTAGTTTTACAAATAAAAAGAACGTGCGTGATGTTCAAGGCAATTCCTTGTAGTTTCTTTATTGGCCAAAAACATTTATTCGAGTATAGTTCGCCAAATAGAGGAAGGAAAGTGTAGAAAATCAGTGGGCTATTTTCTAACCCCCTTCTCGCCCACCGATGCTATTGAGGCACATCGGTGGCAAAAACCGGATGTCGTCAATGGCCTGTGTTTGTAATCAGTGAAAGGGTCTATAAGCAGCTCCAGTATGACGAAACCTGGGCAGTCGCGATGCATCGCTGTTTTTCTTAGTGACACACCAACAGCAAGAATAGTTCAGTGCCATCTCATTGCTACAGGTGGCCTCACCACCGATCTTATTTGTTACTCGGAGAAGCGAACGTGGCGTTGCCTCACGCAAGCCAGCAAGCGTTCTCGCGGGAAAATTTGGCGGCGCGTGCGCTTAGACAACTTCTCCTTTATACAGAGGTGTTGCGTGAGTGAAGGTGCTGTTTTATTTGTCACATGCTTCACCGTGGCGGGTGATGACAGGAAGCACCATGTCGAGTGACGACGTTGGGAGCCTCAATTACATAGTTTGCATCGCACCTAGAAACATAGGCGTATAGGCCAAGGGGGGGGGGGGGGAAGGGGGCGCGAGCCACCCACTGAAAAAAGTCGGAGGGCTGAGCCCCCCCCCCGCCACTTTTGGAAATTTCACTGTCGGTTTCACGCTGGGGAAACCAACATTTGAGGCAAATTTTTCCTTTACCACAGTAATCACTCAATTATATTGTTACGAGGAAATAGGAAGATTACCAGTCAATATTGTTATGTAGTGAACTTTTCCGAAATGTCTGCTGTGACGATTTTTCTTGAATGTTTTTTGCGGTGTGGGCTGCCAAAGCGACTCTTACACCTTGTATTGTAGCAAAGCAAATCGGGCTACAGTACAAGGCGCGAAAGCGTCTTGTACTTTCTTCGTTATGGATAGGAGCAAGCAATCGTTTATGGACCAGTCAGAGCATTTGCTGAAAGTTATTTCCTTTCATCGAAAATGAATTGCGTCATCGCTGCTTTATTGAAGCTGCTGTGAGCCTATCATTGTGATGAACCTTTTTAAATGCTTCACTTTTGCTGTACTACAAGTGCCACAAAAAGGTTTGGCTTTAGTGTCTGATAAACCTAATCACCCTTGCTTACAGTAACTAGGAGCGATGGCAGCATCTTGCAAGGTAGCAGAGGATAAAGCAGTGGACTCGAGTACAGTGGGAAGGAAGCTTAGCTTCTGGCTTACCCCGCAGCTTGACCCACTAGACCTGAGATAACGGGAAATACCGTGGTTTGTTTCACGATGAAGGCCTAACTAGGAGTCGCGCTGGTTAGTTTTCACTAAACTTGAATTGTCTTTTACAGCCAAAATACATCTCTGACAGAAGAGAAGCACACACGCGCAGCACTGCTTAGTTCTCTTACTCTCAGCAAGGATGAACTCACATAGTTGTACACAAAGCACATACACTTTAAAACGTTTTCTAGAGCAACTTCGCAGTTATCGCGAATAGAGCTCTTTGTACCTCCAAAAGACGAAATGTTCGAAAAAGATCACACTCGGCACCAAAAGCAGCGGCGGGGCACTTTCCTTCTTGTGGAGTCAAGCACCCGTTTTTGGGGTTACTGCAGGAATGGTCGCGCCGTGTAAACGACTCATCGGTAGCTACGTTTCATTTCAAACGCTTCTGTAGCGTGGTGTGGGGCAGTGATTAGTGTACGCGCATGCTGGCTGAATGGTCGTGAGTTGGCCCATTGATTGATATGGGGAGCTTGACGTCCCAAAACCACCATATTATCATGAGAGGCGCTGTAGCAAAAGGCTACGGAAATTTCGACCACCTGGGGTTCTTTAACGTGCACCACACAAATCTGAACACACGGGCCTACCGCATTTTCACCTCCATCAAAAATGCAATGCAGCCATCAAAAAGATATATATATATATATATATATATATATATATATATATATATATATATATATATATATATATATATATATATATATATATATATATATAGGCAGGCATGGTGGTTGAGTGGCCGTAGCGTTGCATATAGTCTAGTAGATCCTCCGTGAGCGGTCACAACGTGGTTTATTTCGGCCTAGAGTCTGTCCTGATGAAGGCCAGACTCTAGGCCGAAACGTCGAAATAAACCACGTTGTGACCGCTCACGGAGGATCTACTAGACTATATATATATATATATATATATATATATATATATATATATATACTTCAATGGGCCAGTTAGTCTTTGTGAAGGTATGGGATATGGCACAACGGTAGCGTTTTCAACAAGGATAAACATATGTATTTCCCAACAGTTCCGGGAGGGGTCCTCCCTTCATCTGGGGATGAGTTATACTAACATGAATTTCCAAACTTCGTTGCTGCCGCGTCCCTCTCGCCTTGAAACATGTTTGCGAGAGTGAGAGGGAACTAGAAAAAAAAAGAAAGTAAAAAAGAGGAAGAACCATTGTCAACACTGAGAACGAAATCAACTGTCCGTGTACGTCCACATACGTTTCTTATCACGTGCTGTTCAGTTCTCGACGTGTGTCGGGCCACCCAAGATTGTCGCCGCGGTGCCGGGAGGTTCCGTGACGGCGTGTGTACAGAAAGGGTTTCCCCGTAATGGGTCGGTCGGCATGCGGCGTGCGTAAAGGAAGGGTCTCCCGTTAATGGGTCGGTCGGCTCTTTTTACCTTTAATCTTCGTCCGTTTCCCTTCAATGGCCATCAAGTGGTAGGCCAACGAAAACACTTTGTATGTGCATGTAGAAAAAGGAAGAAAAGAAAAAATGAATGAAGAAAAAACGAAAACAAGAATGGACAGTGTACACGTACGAGTCAGTCAGAAAAAAGTATGGTCTCCAGCTATCAATCTTTGTCAACAATTTCCTCCTGGCTTACTTCTCGGAGGCCGTACATGCACAAAGACAAAGAAGCGTACGCGGTGAACGCACTTGTCGTCCAGAGCGAGAGAGGAAGAAGAGGATCAGGAGGA